AACAGTATCTGTGTCTGCGAACCAGTTCTATTTCACATGTGCTTGGCAGCCCAATATCAAAGCAAAGCAGGAATGCTTTTCCCTACTGGGCACAGAATTCTGCAGCCAGAGAACAGGGCTGCACACCAGCTGCAGTGCTGCAGCACCGCACCCTGCCTCAGTGCCTACAGAGGTAGCTCAGAAATAGTTTAGGTAAGGGACAAGAATGGCTGCAAACATTCTTTACATGAGTTTCCATAGCAATATGAGCTTTATATGTCCCAAGAGCCAAACACATATAACCAATGTAGAAAGCTTCAAAAATGTTGGAGACCTTGCTCCTTTTCCCTGTATTTTAGCCATATGCTCCTCTGATACATGTCAATCCTAAGGAATTTGCCTCAGAAAGTTTTTGGAGAAAACATATCAGTAGTAATGCTACGTGTTCATCTTGAATTCCCAAGTGGTGTGTTCCTGCTTGGGGTGCCTAGAGAAAGATTGATAACACACAGACCTCTGCTGCTGTCATCGTACGTGTACATGACCAACGCCACCCTCCAAACAGCACAGGTGTAAGACAGCAGCCCAACATTGGCAGCCCTTTGAGAACAAGTAATAGGAAAGGCAGCACCAGATAAAACCCCTGTATTCTTTCTATTCACATTACATTAAAAATCAAACAGTTATAGCTCTGCTATAACCGACTCAGACTGGATTAGAATACAGGATCTAAAGTCAAATTAAATTTCACCATCCACATTAAGAAATCAATTCAGCTTCTGAACTGGATCAGCTTTGAATTTAGTTGAAATGCAGTTTGATGAAAGACTCCTGTTCAGCAGCAGATATCATTATCATACCCATCTTAATTAGATCATGAACTTGACTTTAGGATCCCCAAAGGAGAATTGAATGCTTGGTCCAGTTACACTGAACTTGGTCCAGAACACTGAAGCTTATTCATCAAGATAAATGTATTACCAGTTCTTTGATACAACAGATGCTTGATGAGTAATGGAGCAAATGCCTTTTTAACTATGGTTTTTTAAAAGGATTATTAAACTGCACTAAAGTGTATGCTGTTATCTTCAAGGGATAAAAAGTATATCTGAAAAACAATTATTACAGAGCACATGGAACACAATTTTTCAAGCACTAGTTTCAGAATTAAAAACATTTGAACAAAGGTTCTCTGTGGAGTGTCACTTTGCAACCAATTCAAAGCTTTAAATAGCTATTGTTTAATAAAATTGTCAGCTATAAAAATTATTTTCCCTTCAGATTCCAAATCCTGTCAGACTAGGATGATTAAAATGTTGCATAAAAAAAAAGGAGAGAAGGCAATCTAATATCCCCTTATAAAAGTAAAAGCAGCAACTCAGTTTTTAAAGTATCATGAACAAAAGGCTGTAGCCCATCTATCATTCACATATGGATCCATGTAATGATTCTTCAATTAGAATTATTATCTGTACAGCAGCTGAAGACTGAGAACTGCTGATACACTGCAGATGAGAACATTTGCTAGTCTCTGGGCTCCAGCCTTTCTTAAAAAATGATGATCACACAATATAGATTGCTCAGTTTATATGTGTATTAAGCTGCAATGCCAGCATTTACATTTCCAACATTACAATTTTGCTTTCTTAGGCTCAAGAGAATTTGCTGCATCTGGTAGATTTTATTTGCTTTGTATCTTAGGCAATTGTTACGAGCAAAGCACAAATAGGCAATATTATTGCTCCAAATCCTTTGTTTTGTTGATTATCTCAGATACTACCAAAAAAAAAAAAAAAGTAAACTAAGAGTGGGCCTGTGAGATGGGTCATTCAGTGTCAATTCACTTGCACTCTATTATCCCAGTGCTATTTTTATAAGGCAGAGCCATCTGCTCCCTCATTTCTTCCACCTGTATAGATCCAGATAGCCTAAGATGCAACATCAGACGGAAAGAAAAGCATCTCACACAACAATCCTGTAAGGGGGGGAAAGTCACTTTGGTGATTCAGACTGCAGCAACCTGAGGAGCCCTTGCCTACTCTTGCACCCCAACTACATGCTGTGACCTAGAAGATGATGGAGAGAGGTAGATACATAAACAGTATCTGTGAGACAGCCTAAATGGGCAACTCTTCTTGGTGTTTCTATTAAGGATTCCTGCTCTATGAACCCTGAGTATGTTCTGGAGCCCAGGCAGCCTCCCCAGATGTCTCCCTCAAAATGTAGAAGCTGGAGGCAGCAACGTGGCTATTACAGATTTTTGAGCCATGTGAAAGCCTTTAGTGATGTGTGTATGTAGAGATTAGAAAAAGGGCTGCAACTTAATTAAGAAGCTTTTTGACTTCACTGTACAATTTTGGAAATATCTTCATAGAAGGCAAATACTGCTAATGTATTTGGTATTTGTTTTACACTGTGCAGTTTGGCCACTGCCATCTTTCACTGTAATTCTTTTAGTGGGCAAGAGCTGTCACAGCCATGAAATCTCCCTGTTAACTGTTACACAAAGGAAATGAAACCTCTGCTCATGTGTATAGGCTCCAGTGTTATTTCACTACTTTATTATAGATATTACTGAATAGAGAATAAGAAATTTATACCCTTACTTGAAAAATACTTTTTATCCTCTACTGAATCTCCTGTTTCAAATATGCCGTAAAGAACCACGTCTTCTTCACTTACTTGGTAAGTTATTGCCATTTGAATTGCTTAACATTTCCTTACATTCATGTGACATTATAGAATGGTTCTGTTTCTAAAAAAATAATATTAATGTTAATTAAAACTGAAGACATTTATGGGGATAAAGCAAGCAAACAAATCTGAAAACTGGTACAAAAGCTTACCAAAGCAATATAACACAAATACTTAGTTCAAGAGTTCATACATTGTGGTGGGACACATTTCTCAAAATATTTTACATTTTCTCACTTCAGGTGGCTTCCCTAAGATCTGTGAAGAACTCAAATGACACAAATTACATTTTGTATTTGTTTTCAATTAAAGCCATCACCTTATTTTTTTTTAATAAAAAAGGTTTAAGAAGTAAAAACCAAAAACTAATTAGGTCTATGAACTCTTGTTTAGAGCTTTGTTGAAATTTTCAGCTTTGATTGCAAATGGGAAGCACTTCAAAGATAGAAAAAAATATTTATCAAGGAAGCAGTTCAATCTGTGTTAGAAGTGACTGAATTACTTTCAGTAGACAATAAATTATCAGACTAAAAAGGCAGGAATGTCTTCCTCTCAGAGAAGGCAACTGCTGTTTTCTTTATTCAGAATCAGGATACTACTCATCAAAGCTTATTTTATCTGCTATCACACATCTCCCTAAACTCTTGCAGTAATAGTGCTAACATTCACATTCTGTGACTGGTCATCTAAATCAACAATTTATACTCATTCAGGCAATATCAAAAACCAGGAAGAAAGGTATCACTAAGGCTTGGTGGTTTTCACTGGCTGCTCCAATATACAGAATACTGAGGCAGTAAGCTGCAGAGATGTGTATCCAACGTTTGTGGAAGTCTTATTGACTGGAAAAGCTGAGGTACTGCATGGTCTCATTAAAAAAAAAACCAACAAAAATGGCGGGGGGGGGGGGGGGGGGGGTGGGAAGCAGGGAGAGGAGAGAGAGGGAGAGAGTGAGAAATGACAAGCTATTTACATCTCCTTACAGCCACAAGGGCTCAGTGGCCAACTTACCTGACGTGTCTTCTAGGATACGTTTGTACAGCAAATAAGAATGGTGACTGCAGTCTGAGGAGCTGTACCTGCACAAGCTTTAATCAATCTATTGTGTAAATCCAGCAATAACAATGTGGAAGCAGCAGTTCAACTTAAGCTGAAGATACAATGGACCTCATTAAGTGAGATCATCTTGGTGATGATTAGCACATCATTAACTCCCACATACTAGCATGACCTCTTGCATTAATTCATTTGAATGTGCTGGATAATCTCTCACAAGCACCACTATTTTGATTAAGTGATTTACAAAGGGCTCTGAAGGATACATGTCTCAGATCCCACCCAACAAAGTAACCAAAACATTTCCTGATACTCAGAACTCATTAACGGTGGTATCCTGAACAACACTACATTACAGACAGGGAAAGAAAATGTCTTTGAACATCAAGCTTATTTTGAACAGTGAATTACATAGAAGGTATGTACAATGTAGTAACCACATTTAAGAATAACTACACATTTTGCAACCTTCAGCACTGTCACTCCAGTGATATGGAACCTTTGTTTGAGGAACAGACTCTGAATCTATTGTTTTCTTAATGAATTCAAATCAGCATCTGCACAGATCCACAGAAGCAACAGTGCCACTGGCAAGAGACACTACAAAAATAGTGTTAAAAAAAAAGTATATATATTTCAAAACAGTGGACTAAAAATGCCAAAATACTCTCAGGTCTCACTGGCTCTTAAAACCGATGCATCAGTCCTACGTGGCATTCCTCCTTTCCAGTGAGTTTTTAATCACCCTATCAAATCAGAAGAATAAAAATAAAAAAAACAAAGCCAAAACCTCCAATGACTGTACCTCTTCACAACCCCTGATGTTCAGTATTAAAGCTCCTCTGGGCTGCTGAACTATACAAATGCTTTCAAGAGCTGAGCACTGACAGGATATCAGGTAGTCTAGGCTCCTCTTTGCCACTGAAGGCTAACTAGTTCTAGGTAGTTCATGACAGGTAAGGACACCAGAAAAACATTACTATTCCAACTCTGTCATTTACCCATGCAGTCTGAACACTGTATTTAGTAAGTGCTATCCCAACATTTGCATAAATCTTCGAAAAGAAATTAGAAGTGACACATTCATTGATGAAAAACAAAGTACTTTGAGAGCAGAGAAATCTGTTGCTTGGATGGTCTGTCTATACCTAGAAAGGAATTCAGTCACTGTCACAGACAATATTGTTAAAAAAATCCCATGTGAATAAACATACTGTGATTTAGTAAACACTGTCCAAATAGCCACACACAGATTGAAAGGCAAACTGTAAGTCTTTGTGAACATAAAGCTTTACTTTGGCAAATATTATGTGCATTTCATACATTGCAAAAACTTGTGTCTGATCCTTTGTTCTTGAAGAGAGAATCACCTACTTTCTTAAAGCTGAATTCCATCCAAATTTTTATTATTTTTTTCAATAACAAGAATATAAAATCAAGAATAAATTTCTGCACAGCAGATGCATAGTCCTAACCCAATACAAACCTGACATACTTCAGACAAAACCTTATCTTCCTGTGTTACTAAATCTGTATCTTCTAGTCTTCAAGTTGTTCTGTGGCTGTGTTAGCATCACTTATTTCATTTATACTTTTTTCTTGCTTTGCTTCTTTTCTAAAAGTCTTCAAACACTTGTCAAGTCTTTTTAGGAATACATCTACATCTTGCTTTTTAATTCCAATTGCTGAGGCAGCATTGAGGTAAGCACAAGGATAGTCATTTGCATGTGACATAAAGCCTTTAAAAGTGTAGTTATTCACAGTTTGTACAGACCCACAGGGAACAACCCTGAAACAAACAAAATTACAATTCAGTTAAAGATGCCTTGACATTTTATGTGGTACCCTAGGTTGAACAAAATTACATAAGTTCCTATTAAGTAGGGAGTTGCTATTCCTACCACTGATTCACAACACCAGTATAACTTAAAATCTGTTGAAATAACAGGTCAAACAGTATATACTAAAGAATTACTTATGTAACAAAAGAGAAAACCTGAAACCTTCACATCAGGGAAGGAATTGGAAAATTTTAACTTAAAAAACTGAAACTCTTGAACAATTTCAGAAAACTATGGTTAAAATTACAGGACCAGCCAAGGTTAGTACAGGCAAATTAAAAAGAGCATCTAACCACAGTACATATAGATTTACTGTCATTCATCTGTGCAGGAAGTGGAATAATCCAAGCTAATGAAGCATACCTTCTGATGTGGAAACATTCAGCTCTGCTACAAAAAAATAACATTAAGTCTATGGCAGAAGTTAGCATGGCAGCAGTAATATTCAGATTAAGGAATGCTGCCAAAACAAATTTTAAATCATTCTCTTCTGCTAAAAGGTTTAAACCAAAATCATTAAAGATTATTTGGCTTGCACTTCATTGTAATAGTGTCTCTAAGAATAAATTCAGCTCAGACTGGCTCAGGTTTTTTAATTTTTAAATTTTTTTAACACAATTACTTCCAGAAAGCAGATTTTTTTTTTCCATTTGACAAAAAGCTGTGTAGGATATTAAAAGCTTATTCCCTTGACATCCAGTATAACCATATTTGTGCTGCAATAAACAAAACAAAGATCTTCCCTTGTAGCTTATACCTATACTGTAAGATTGGAAAACATCTGGAAACTACATGAAATCAAGGGATACTAGGGAATAATGACATTAAATGGGCATAGATTATCTCTTTAGGATACCAAAGTAGACATAGAAAGCCTCACTGCTAACTCAGGCAGGGATACATTACTACTCTATAACAGTGATTAGGAAGGGTGATTACTCTCCAACTCATTATTGTTAGACTGCCTTCCATAATCACGACATAACTGGCATAAAACACTTCAGAGGATTTTGTACAATATATGCTAATACATGCTCCCCCACTCCCCCAATTTTAAAAATTCATAATATCCTTACCTTGCTCCAGAAACTTGTCTTGTGAAAAGCATAGATCCAAGCTGGGTAACAGCAACATCACTAGTTTCATCTAGAGTCTTCAGTGACATGGCTAAAGTAACATAAGGTCAGGTTAAAACTGCTACAAAGCTACTTTTTCTCCAAAGAAACACCACAAATGACAAGTTGCTTTCCAACAGCAAGAATCTAGTCATATATTTGTGTTCACATACAGAGAAAAAAAAGAAACACTACATATAATTTTTAATTTTTCCACAAGCTGCCACTGGATTACTTCCTGGGTTAGAATGTACGCAGATTCTGCACAGGTGGGCAGTATTATTTTGGTGTTCAGCACAATTTTTGGCTGAAACAAATACCTGGAGTAGGAATTCCATAATTTCTTTCACAACACTAAGTTGACGAGTAATTATATCCTAATTTATTTTTAAATCTAATTCTTATGAAGTATTACTACATGCTAACATCTTCAGCATGTCTCGATTTCATTTCTGTCAAAGGAATGTGTTGGACAGGAGCAAAATAATGGGTCCAAGTTGCTACACTACTTTTATGGTAGATTACCCTTTTTGGTAACCTTATTGAATTATTATTCAACTGAGTGTTTAATATATAGGAATGGTATGTGGAAGTGCATTATGAATCCACAGTATATTAGATTTTTTTAAAAGTTAAACCCCCAACAATTACCTAAGGAAATGGGGTTATGTGGTGTATCTAACAGTCTCTCATTGTGGTTATCTGCCAGCTTCTTCAGCTCACTTGAAAGATACGAAAACATCTCCTGAAAAAAAGATGCAATATTTTTGTTATGAGCTATTAAACAGAGAAAAGAGCACCTATTTCACAAAACTGTTATGTCTCCTTTACATCCTACAGGTGCTCAGCTGATTCTCTTTTCATGTGTAAGTGAATCGGACAATTCTCTGAAATAATTCTATAAGGGAACAATTCCATTTCCTGAGCACTGTTCTTATCTCTCAAGCTGATACAAAAGTCTCTATCTGGTCTAAGATATGTGCTTGGGATGGCATTCATTCTCTCTGTGGCCCTGAAGCCTAGGGAGGTAGAAAATCTTGAAGAGATTCGCACTGCACCGCAGGTCTAATCCCCAGACTACTTTTCAAGAGCCTTCCCATGCCCTAGCCCCCTAAACCACTGAGAGTGAACTGTTACCATCACAGATGGTCACGTTTTGGCAAATTGCTCCTTACTTTATCTTCTCTCCTTTAATACATTCCAGACTAAAAGCAGTATATTTTGCTACCATGTATCACACAATCACATTTCCCCCTAGTGCAGAGTTCTCTTTTTCTGTATGAGAATAAAAATCCAGTCTCTTAAAGAGGCTATACGTACACATTTGACTGTATTTTGTTTCACACAATATACACTCTCTTGAATACTCAGCTCTGTTGAGCAGTCTCTCCTCTCCCTAGGACCCCACTCCTGTTCAAATTGACTATAAGAATGGAAATACCTGGATTTCTGCTATCACTTAATTGGATTGCACCTTTACTGTGAAAGTGCCATAAGACTGAGATTCATAAATACTTTGGCACAGATACAAGCCACACTGAATATAAAAGGCTGTTTCTCTTACTTCATCTGTATTTTATATCCTCTCTCTTCCCCTGTAGTAAGCTGTGATAATTGTTCGTGCTCTTCCTCAGTTTAATATATTCCTCTTCAGATATCAGCTCAAAACACTTATGGGCAGAGTGAGAATAAACACCATTCTTATTGTAAGCCTTAGCATTTTTTCCATCCTTTTTAATGCTTTAATCTCTCATAAAAACTAGCAATACCATACAGACACTGGGTAGCCTTTTTAAAAGATATTAAACACCAGGTTTCTCCTCTTTCAGGCCATAAAAATTGTCCTGCTTATCTGCTTCAGTGTGACTGCCTGTTTAAGCATCCTCATCAATTTCTGGACCTGACAAGTGATTTTTCATTCTTTAAATAGAATTACCTCTTCTGTTTGTAGGCCAGTATCCTGCTTCGCCCTATGGATTCTGACAGATATAAATTATAGCTTGTGATCCAAATTATGCTTTTGAACAGAACCTCCCCAAGGTCTTATGAAATCAAATGAGGTTTGTGGTACCTAAGTTAGAAGAATGTTACAGCTGCTTTTCTTGAACCACTGCAGGAAATCTCACCTCCCTTCATGAGCAACAAAATGAACCCAGTTCCCCACCTGTACTTCCTAATATCACAGAACAAATACAGATGGAGAGAGAAAAGTATCCTCTTATGGTCTAAATGAATTAGGCTGTTGATACAACTATCCACAAAAACACAAAGCTTGAAAAAAAACCTAGAAGTTTGGGAGGCATCTATGTTTAATTATCAGAACTTGAAATCTGTGAAAAATCACCCTTATTTCTTGAAAATCAAGTGATTTTATGGTTTTAGTTCAGAGTTTACCTACAGTTCATCCACAGAAGCTAAAAAGTATCTATGTTTCAAAAGTTCATACACTTCTGCCCTTCCTCTGGTCCCTCATGGTATATAAGCACATTATTAATTTGTTACTTTCCATAATAAACATCATTAATATACTAGCCTTTTTATTAGTATTTATTTTGGAATACAAATCATAAATTAATTTGTGCTCCCTCTGCTGGCTATTTACTTCTAAAACTGAAGCAAAATATTGTAGAAATATAAACTGTGCCTACTCTGGAGATATTTTTGGCGAAATTAGTACTGAGAAAAAATATACTGGAACAAGACCAATTTCCAAATAATTGTTGTGCATTGTATCTAGGAAATTCTCTGATATATCTCTTATAGTATTACTGAAAGAACTGCTGAAAGGAATACTGGAAGTATTACTGAAAGTTGATATAAAAAGTTACCCACTGCATAAATATATTAAATTTAATTAAATCTATTCAATGAAATTAGGTTACTAGATGAGCCTTTACATATATAGAAATTCATTAAAACAAAGGAGAATGGAAAGATGGCAAAAAAAATTCCAAGTATATATTTTCATCAGTTTGACTAAAGCTACATGAACACAAATTCAAAGTTTCCTGTTTTATGAACAACACTATTTTGTATCTTTCCATTGGAAGCCCTCTAGATATTTTAAAGTTTCAGAAGTTTGTTGCAAAATAGATTAACTGCCTTTCCACAAAAAAAAAAAAAAAAGATTAAAGCAATATTTTTATGAGGTCAAATCTATAACCAACCTCCATTATAAAATATTTCTCTTACATGGAAAGTTTATAAGCACCCTAAGCAATTATATATAATTGAGCTCTTACATAACAGATTTTCTGTAGCAGGCATTCAAGTTTTCTCCAAAGAAGTCAAATATTATGCTGAAGTTACACTGAACAACTCAAGCACTAAATGTCAGATAAGTTTCCTTATTTAATTTACTCCTTTACTTTAGAAACTTATCACAAAACCTCATTAGGCTGGACAAATGAATTCTAAACTATGTGGCAGTGTCTTTCACTTCTGGTTCTTTGAGCACCTAAGCCAACAAAACACCTTAAAAAACAACAAGTCAACAACATTGTCTGCATCAAATAGGCCGAATAACTCAATTGTTTGCATGAAACAGTCTACTTTCACATACATGTACAAACATTATTTCAAGAAGCACTGTAACAATCATTAAAAATATTGGAATCATACTATATTTATACTATAAAACTATTTTTAATAGAACCTCTACTAATACGGGAGAGTTTTCATTTGTTGCTCCATTGTGATAGGCACTGTTCTTGCAAACAAAAATAACAAGAGGGAAACAAGTAAGGAAAAAACCAGAAACTAGAGAGAAAAAGAAGATGACGGTACTGAATAAGCCATCAGTCCCATACCAACTGACAAAGAGACAACTGATGAAGGCCAGAAAAGTTTTTGTGCAGAGTTGAAACTATCTTAGCTGGCTCGGATCACCCAGCTTGCTTACACTCTGAGTCTGTAACACTGCCTTTCTCCCTGTGTCACTCCCATCTGAAAAGATGAGCTGTCCCCAGGAACAGTCACAGAGCTGTGTATGGTGTGAAGAGGACACTGTGCAGGAGTCATTTTACAGCCTCTTCACCCTCCACACAGGCTGCCAGATCTCCTATGCTTGCCTGAGACTGATCTGCTCCCACCTTACTCTGCAGCAGCAGCAGCTGTTTTATAATGCAACCATCAGAGCCTCTCCTGCTTCGTGCCTCAGGAGGACCAGCTGCTTCTGAGCTGTGATCTGACCACACCACTTGGTGCACCATGCACCCAGCAGAGGAGCAGCAGGGCTGAGCATGGAGACCTGCCAGCAGATGAGAGCCCAGAAGGAGGTTCAGCTTCTTGAAATGCAGCCAAACACATGACAAACTATATGTGTATGTGTGTGACACCTGCATATACTACACACCTTCCTGGGCAGATTCTCTTCCACTGCAAAAATTCTGTTATGGATTTACACTAGAAAGTTTTAAAAACATGAAATTAATTACAGAACCTTGAAATCTTTATATCATCAGTATCTAACAGAAAGTGCCCAGTAAGCCTTGACAGTCTGATTTGGTAACACTAACATTCACATTTTTTTAAAGGTCTTTCTTAACAACAGCAATCAACACATTTTCTCTTCAGCACTTGTGAGACCTTGCATTGTGAGACCTCTGTGACCCACGCTTCAACACAGGTTGCAAGTATGGAGGCCTCTCTGAAATTTCCATATATGCTCGGCACTTGTTTAATTACAAATAATTTACAACAGTTGATTTCAACTAATTTGCCTCCAGCTACTCTAAAGTTTGAATATGGCTACATATACTTTGCATGAGGAAAATCTTCCAATATTCTCAAATTTGACATGCTACAGTGTAACAAGCTGACTAGGAAAAAAAAACAGGAGTAACAAACATCTATCTCACTTTAAGAATAGATGATTTTTACATTTTTAATATCCCCCATTAAATGGTTTTCCTCTTCTTCCATCGTAAGGAGAGTAGCAATATAAACCCACACTGAACTGTACAAATAATTTATTCCAATCAGGTAACTACATCAATAATAACTCATGAAACCTAAGCCCAGTATTATACTGAATTGTAAAACCCAAACAATTTCCTCCCACTCTGTATGACTTAAAATATTTTAGATACATACTCCATAAGGACATAAAAATAACTCCAGTTTTACTCTCAAAGTATGCAGACAGATGAATACCAATATAAAAATCTCTATCACATCCCACAGTAACACAGAAATGCATTTGAGAAAATGAGAATTATCTTAATTGTTAAGTCTAATGAGGAAATCCATAACTGCTGTAAACAAAACCATCACCTCTTCAATAATGCCAGTATAATAATTAGTTAAGTGGATTAGAAGGACCATATTGGATAATAGCAGGTATTAAACCTGGCCTACAGGGTTCTGAATGTAAACCCTGAACACAGGGTTCTTGCTCTCCGTGAAATTTGAGATGATAACTAAGCCTGTTTATGCCATTACACAGTGCAACTGTATCTACCTCATGTGGGCTGGTTTAGACATACACATACACATATGAAAATAGCAACTTTTATGACCTAGAAATGTAAAATACAGGACATAACATAACCTGTACTGAGGCATGAAAAGTTGCTATAAAAACACAACCTTTACGTAAAGTTGTTTAAAAGCAAAGATATTAACAAATTTGACTATGGACCAACTGTTACCTGCAAAAAGGAAAAAAGGACCTGGAATTGCCTACTAAGATCAGAAAACCACTGTTATAGCCATCACAAAAACCTATAAAAAGGAATTCTGAGAAGTCAGTACTACTTCATAGCACTACATCTAATCTCATACTCTTGGACAACTGCACACTCCACAACTCCCAGCTCGTCAAAAAAAACTCACTTCATGTACATGCTCCTCTCCCTCAGATAGTATCTTCCCTTCCTGAATTAAATAGCTGATCTGTGTAAAAGAAAAGCTGTAAAGATTATTTTGTTCCTTGTTTGTGCAGGACTAATCTCTTCTCAGTAATACTCTGGTCTTTCTGGCCTAAGCACAAGTAACCTGAAGCAAACCCATGAGAATGACGATCAGGTGAAAAGAGAAAGAAAAAATATACCTGAAGTTTTTTATAGCTGATTTTTTTTGTGTGAGTAGGTGCAGCTGCGCCAATATAGAAAGGAGTACTCAATGTCAAGCTATAAATAGTTCCTGCTGGAAGCTTAATAGCTCTGCCTCTGCTTCCTCAGAGCACAGGCAATAAACTACCATTATTGCACTTTTACAATTCAGGAACAAACAGATTTAAGCAAAAATGTTTCTCTTTCTATAGAAAATCCAATAAAAGAAACATATTTACCCCATATATAAGGCTCTGTTTATAGAATATATTCACATTTGAAATAAAAAGACCTGAAGTTGTAAAAATACAATACTGTATTCACTTTAGAATTCTACTTTCAAGAAAATTAGATGACTCAAAGTATACAGCTATTCATTAAGACATTTATGAAAGAATTATTATTTATGACTTGGACAATATTTCTCATGTCCTTTAAACACGAGCTACTGGTAGAAATCTAACAATAAAATCAGCTTTGTAGAAAACAATACATTCACTTGAGATTCTTCTGGACATAAGAGTAAAGGGGAAAAAATACAATTTGCTTTTAATGAAGACACAAAACAAATTGCAATACATACAACAGTCCAGAATAAAATGTTGCAGTACAGGCAAAAGGAACTGCTTTCAGTGTTCACTTTATTTGCTTCATTGTAAGGCCACTAAGTTGGTTTGGTTTTCTATAGTCTATCTAATCCTATGGAACCTCAGTTCCAGTACAGAGTTTATGGATGCCTCTATAAGCAGCTAGAAATAAGTCACAGCATCCAGAACTACTTCTCTGCCACATAATCAGAGACAGCAGTGAACTGTCAGCAGAAAACAATTGGAACATAGTTTTCAAATAAAATAATGAAACAGATAATGCACAGCTTAAAAATTATTAATTTAATAGTACTTAATTCACAGCATTTCCTTGTACGAAGCCTCTATAAAAAGAATCTTCTGCATTACTATATAAAGAGAGAAAAATCACACATGTATTAATTCCAGAATTAAGGATAACTCAAGATACACAATTTCCAACCTGACATGCACTGAATTTTTGTGCAGTGCAATTACACCCAACTTAAAACCCATAGTCTGTGAAAAGCAGAGAAGAAACTTAGCTGTGTGCCTAGATGAATAACTAAAATAACAATATTCTTCTCTTTTTGTGGCAATGCACAGTATTTATAACCAACCAGAAGCTGTGATACTCCAGAGAATGTGGCACACAAACATTTAATTAAGCACTATCATAGCACAAAGGCACAATAGGGACAAAAGAGGAAGAGCACACACCCTGGGTTACTCTGGGTGTCCAATCTCCTGTCCTGGAAGCAGTGTGACCAAGATAGAACAGTAAAGTACTTATCCATTTAAGTTTTTGTACACAAAATTCTACTATATTAGTCACATTTAGGAAGGACAAATATGAATGCTGTATAAGACAGTACAGGCCCTCTGTTTAGCCTCCCGGTTTGAACAAACAACAACATGGAAAACATGTTTACTCATGAGCACCATTTAGACAATAAGTAATTCTGTCATACTGAGTACCCAGATTCAGAGCTCAGAGCTCTGAAAGATCAATGGCTTTCCAGACAGAAACTGAATTCACCACACAAAGCAGTTTTGCAACAAGACTTTTTTAACAGCTGACTTCAAGAAAATACTGATTGCCAAAAAGCTTACCTTTCTCTCTTTCAGTAACTTTTTGTAGCCACTGGTTCCCAGAGACAGAAGTGTAATGAGGACATCTAAAGAAGGGGACGCAGATGCTCTTCCTGAAAAAAACCCGAATATACAGATTAAAGTGGCAAGAATAAATTTTATGTGAAAGAAAGCTGATAATCAAGTTTTCTACAGCTATTCTGTATGGCTGAAATCAGCCCATGAACTAGTTACCTGGATACATTTTGCTGATCTCCTGAATGAAGGACTCGTTGAAGCCAGCAATGATAGCACCACCTACTGGCACCATGAAATTTTTGTCCAAGCTCTGAACAAAAGCATCTATTCTGCCAACTCGAGCACCCTTTATCAAAAAGGACAAAAAAAAAAAAATCCACAGCATACATTAGAAAAAAAAAAGGAAATGTGATAGCATCATAATTATATAAAAGTGTAGCTAAAATAAATATAATTCCTGAAACTCTCAGATACTACATTTGTGACCAAAACACAGAAATAATGGTATTACCTCTTTTAGCGCTGCTTACTATTAGTAAGCATTGTCTGCATAACATAGTACCTTACAAATTCCCACTTTGCTGTGATTAAAAATATCAATTTTAGTTCCTGCAAGTCTAGGTGTGGCTCCATTTTGGCAACAATCAAAAAGAAACCCATCAAAATTTAATGGGAATTAAACAGTTAAAACTGTTCAATCCTGAACACTTTTTACAGCTCCCACAATAAAAGGCTACGAGTTAATGCTTCATTAACAAAGCTTTTTTCAATACATATATAAATTTGCATTAAACAAACTGGCTTATTACAGCACTCCTTCTTCAAAGGCTGCTTTCAAAATCAAGATTCAACTAATTTCTTATAGTAGATATCTCCCACATCCTTATACCAAAACACTCATATTTTCCAAGGAAAAAAATGTAGATTCTGCAGTACACCTTCAATTTGAGTGGCATGTAACTGTGAACTGTACAATTAAAAAGTATGCAGCATAAGAGAACTTGAAAATTAGGTTAAAAACCCATAGATATCAAAGTACATGCACATACACATATTTTTAAAACTCTACACTAAATGTAAGAGTAGAAACAGAGTTAATACCTATGGCAAACAGACTGAAAAAAAGCAGAGCCAACTAAACCTCATTTATTAGTTCTATGTTTTGATAGCTTAATGCACAGGAGACAGGAAGAACGCTCCAAGTTTGTCAGCTTTTTGTTGGGAACATGAATGCCAGCAGCTACCATCTGATTTAATTGACAGGAGAACACCAGAGGAAAAGCACAATATTAAATGGTCTCAAAAGGTTTTTCCTGTGGTACTCTTGCAAATTGTATTCACACAGCACTCGGCATGTACATATTCCTAAGTATTCATTAATAACTACTTTCTTATAAACAGAAAATTTTCTAGCACAAATAATAAATTTTGTAAAAAAATGTAAAACAATTCAGAGCTCAAATATATACATTTGCATAAGCAATGAACAAACAACATACTGAGTCTAGAAAAACACAGAAACAAACACAATAAAAATTTTATTTGTAGCATTATAGTCTGAAATGTTTATCATTAGAACATTTAATGCAGCAAAACCCAGCACTTCCACAGCCTCATTCATATTAGTTTCTCACTAAACTTGAGCAAGTTAAATACAATAAACATGTATTAAGTACATTACAAATAAAGCATATAACATTTTCTATTTCATTAATTCCCTCAGTCTTTCAAGATTTAGAAATGCCAACATGATGCTCTTTCACAATTGTACATTAAGCTGGTCTGTGTCCTGTTAGTAATATCTTAGCAATCAGAAAAAAAAAATAAACCCAGCACATTTTACATTACTAATAGTTCACAATCATCTGGATCCTATTAAAATATAATCCCCTATTCTTTTGAATAGGTAACAGAAAAGAGACTATTGAAGAACGATGCACATACAATACAATGAAGAAAAATTCAAAAATTTTGTTTAATGACTGATCTTAGATATCAAGCAATATCCTCTTCAAAAGAAACAGCAACAGAAATTAAACTTTTTTGATCATAACATTGAACTTAAACCAGTTTCCTCAGCCATTTTCTGTGCCAACAGTATTTTAACAGCAGCAATGTCTATCAAGTGCTGCTGTAGAATTCTGTACCTTCAATTAAAAATCTGTAACTCATTGTGTTGAAGGCTTAATTTCCATTCAAGTATGATCAATTATGTCACATTTAGTCAACAACTTTAGGAAATATTTTAAGAAAGCTTATTAAGGATTTTTTTTATTATAAAAAAAATGAACATACACAAAAACCAAATAAACTTAGGGTTACATAAAAAGCACATAATAGAAATAATTATTATTATTAAATTCTATTTCTGTCTGTTGTGCTTTCCTAGAAAATTATTCGAATATCAGACATGCATGGGATTACTCTCAAACCTATGAAGCATCTGATAAAATTTGCTAGGTTGTCTACAATCACAAATTTACTTATACTTGCTAAAAATATTATTGGAAATACACAGCTCCTACCTGCTGGATAAGATGCATACATTTTGAAGACTGAACTCCATATGCATTGTTGACAATATGTGGAATGTCATAATTAGCACAAATTACAGCCAGCTCCTCCAGCCTGTGAGCATAAAATTGTAATTTAGAGAAGCATTGATTGCTGTAGCTCATCTTACAAGTCAGACCATTAAAAGGTCTACAAGAAAGTCAGAATGAGAAAAGTAGCTTTTTTGATTAGTACCTCATAGCAGTATTTGTCATCTTAAGCTATAAAGTTAAGATGAAAATTCTATTGGCTTATACATATATTGCAAATTGCTGAACTAGTCTGACATTTTTCTTGCTTCACTTTAAGTTTTATCTGGACACCAGTTAATATAGCCCAAACTATTAAGCTTTAGATACAAGCTTTTTGTTGTTGTTGCTTTACTATTAACTAACATAGCTTTAGCTAGTAATTTTTAAATTTTCTTTAATATTAAATGTGAAAACAGTCTATAGTAGTTTCAAGAGTGTCTTTGGAATCAAAAGCATCCTGTAACAGGAAGTTTTTACATGTTTCTGTTTATCTCAGAGAACCAGTATTTTCATCCTTTGGCTGGAATCTCACTTGAGTACTTCAGGTAAACTGATTATGAGAAAATAAATTCTTTAAAGGAATGGAGAGCCCTAAAATGTCTGAATATGGACATCAACAAATTGAAAATTTGTTCAGCTGTTTACTCTTCACTTGCTTTTAGAACCCCCTGAAATCACAGTGAGCTCAACCTGGACTGATTAATCAGTCAAATTAAGATTTATCTGAGCACACTGATCATTTTAAGTAAGACCCTTTGGCATTTTAAACATACTTATATGCAGTGCTTTTTTCTGAAGCACTCCAATCATGGCATGTTTAAAAAAAATTACTCATGATTTCCCCCAAATTTTGAATCTATTTTAGAAATATAACCTATTTGAAAAAATTAGGCAACATAAAATAATTTAAAGTGATGAAAAAGGCAATATTATCTTTTAAAAAAACCGCAGGAAACTATTTCCAATGCATTTTTACTCTCCTCCTGTACAGCCTCTCACAGTAATTTACTGACATATATATAAAATATGACAGAGTATGAAAATATTTTTCAAGAGGTAGCATTCCTTTGCATTCTATTCCTATTACATTGTCTAGTGTTATTCTGCAATGCAAAATTCTGATGCAAGTATCATATTAATTCTTCCAAACATAAATTCTTAAGAAATCATCATCACCATATTATCCTTTAAAAAATCAAAACTACTTTATAATTAGAAAACACCAGTAATATAATGTATATATTTATCTTCTACAGTCAAGATATTTGTGAGGAGCTGCATTTCCAATAATTTTTCACATTTATCAACACAGAAATATATAATATTCTGAGTTGGAAGGGACCCACAAGGATTATCGAGGCCAGCTCCTGGCCCTGCACAGCACAATCCCCAGGAATCACACCATGTGCCCAAGAGCATTGTCCAAATACTTCTTGAGCTCTGTCAGGCTGGTACCATGAGCACTTCCCTGGGGAGCCTGTTGCAGGGCCCAGCCAACCTCTGGGTGAGGAACCTTTTCTTAACATCCAACCTAAACCTCCCCCAGATCAGCTTCTGCCCATTTCCTCGGATCCTGTCACTGTCACCACAGAGAAGAGATCAGTGCCTGCCCTCCTCTTCCCCTCACAAGGAAGTTGTAACTGCAATGAGGCCTCCACTCAGTCTCCTCTTCTCCAGAGTGAACAGACCAAGGGACCTCAGCTCTCCTCATGTGGCTTCCCCTCATTAATAGAATACTTGACGAAACATATTATACAGGACAAAGCTTTTGCCTTTCAATCTGCTGGTTCTTAATCAGACACATTTCTCACCCTCCAGAGAGACCTAAAGGAACATAATTTCCCTGTTACATGCTTCTTGTCAAGTGCTGGCAGAGAATTTCACCAAACTAGAAACACAGAGGGTGTACAGCTACGTATGTTCACCTTTCTCACCTTCTGAAAATTAAAGGAACAATAACCTATCTTCTGCAAGTACTGAGAACAGAAAAGTCTTTTTTCCCTAAAAATATTCTATTGAGCAATTAGATCCATTTTGCGATACAGAATGAGAATGCTACAGTTTGAAGAGAATGTGTTAGTATGCAAGGGAAGCAAATGATGCACAGTGCCTGTATGTACCTGCACCTGCTTCCAAAGCCTAGAAAGCAGCATTGAAAGTGCTACTAATCATATCACAAAGCATTAATCTAAGTTGGCTACTGAAGTTCTTAATAATCACAAATACAGAAGTATTTCCCCATTTAATCTTGCTTTCTTTGTCTCCTATTTGTTAAAGTTCATGAAAAGAAATGTTTGTTCTTTTTTTCTACTACTGAAAGTAAAATGTAAAGATTTCTGCTAAGTACACAGACCAACCGAAAAGGAACACTTACTCTTTGGTTTCCTTAAATACAGTAGGTTTTACAAAAATGTTACAGTAACAGCAGGTAGAATTCTGAGAAAGAGGATTTATACACTAGAGAATTACTCCCATAGAGTTAAACAGTACTTCAAAGGAAAGCCATTGGTAAGGCAGCCATAAAACTAATAAAAATTTTAAAACATGACCACCCCAACTAAATAAAGCCTTACAAATACAGATATTTAAAAACAGACATTTAAAACTGCACCCTCCAGAAACGCTGTCAGGGTTTTCCTTCCCATAGGAAGATGAAGGTTATGGCCTTCAACAGTTGACAGTTTCTTTTACATTCAAATCTTCCTATATCTGTGGTATATTATAACATAGTGCCACTACCTAATAATTCCTCTCTTAGTTGTAGAGGACAAAACAATAGCAGCATGTCAAAAAGAGGAAGCAGATAAGGAGAAGATTCATTTACCCAAGCTATAAAACAACCATTCAGTTTTGATAGCTGTGATTTAAGTTAGCCAATAAATCTGCAAGTCAACTTCAAGCAATGTTCATAGTATTCTGACAGAATTATATGGTTTTAACTCCCATCTTTCCCTCTAGCAACTAGGTTAACCTATGATAAATACCAGGGTTTTTTTTAAGGTAGGAGAGGAGAGTAAAATATATTTTTACTTGCCACATTTTAGAGTCAATAACATTTCTTTTCTATGCTTGTGGAGAAGAGTAGAAAAGGCAACAGTAGCATCAAAAAAATGTCATTAGCTATGGAGCTACATTTCCTGGATTATGTTTCCATGAGAATCTACTTTTACTACTTCCATGAAATTTTACAAAAACCACTAGGAAAATGACATTAATTTCACCACAAGACAGCAAAATTAACCTCACTTACATAACAGAAGAAAAATCTTCTATGTAATTCTCACTTTTTTTTAATATACTTTTCTGGAAGGGAATTAAAGAACCTTTAGTTTGGCAGAAGCAATTTTAGGAAGATGGATGGTCAAAACATGGAGGCGTTGGTTGGGTTTTGTTGTTTTTGTTAGGGGTGGGGAGGATGTTTATTTGTTTTAACAGTAACAAATAACACAATTCTTACAAAGACTGCTTACCTATCAGGTACCCTTGGAGCAAAGCAAGATGTTGTAGAATGCACACAAAGAATATTTTCAGCACCAAGAGCCTTGATTTTGGCCTCCACTTCTTTGAGGTCTGTCCGTAGCTCATCACCTTCTAATGCATTTTCTATCACCACAGGCTCAAAACCTGACCAAAAAAAGCAAGAACTGAATGTAACTCAACAAATCCCTGACTAATTGTGGGGGTTTAGTTCCAGTATATATTTGAAAAACACATCATGTTACTACTGTTTTAACAGATTCTAACAGTAAAGACTGTGCAAACCACAGAGATTGTCACCATCTGATCACAATTCCTATGACACAAGTTTTTGCATAAATTTGAAAGCGAGATTTGAACTGTGAGATTTGGTTTTCCATAACTAAGGACAGCAAATTAGGCATCTTACTCTGAGGGTGAACTGTAACTTCCTTAGTATTGTGTTCTCACTTGACTGCTTTATACACCTCTGTACCACTACACACACCTGCATTTTGCAAGGCATTAGGAAGACAGCAGGCATGTTTTAACTGCATGTTAGAAATCAGGAGTGCACAAATAAAGCAGAACTACTATGCATTAGGCTTTTTTTGTATCTTACTACAAGGGTATGAATTGATCACTCTGATAGATGGAAGTTTCATATCTGTTGGAAGAACACACACTGTGTCATCAATCAGTTACCTTCTTACCTGCAGTTATCATTGATTTAAAGCAAGATTTCTGGTCTATACGTGGCCAGATAATGTATTTTGCCTTTGGTCTCTTGTGCCTCAATGTTAAAAAACACAAAGTTAGACTCATGCCTGTTGCCATAGGAACCACAAAGCAACTGGTCACTGTCTGGACACCTGCAGTAAAAAGCAAGTCAGAAATTAACATGAAGAATACATAATGTAACTTCACAAACAAGTGAGATTTTTCAAATTTACACCTACCAGCCAGTTTTATAATATCCAGTATTACTGAATTAGTAAGTTTGTTCAAAAGGCTTGAACCTGCAGCTTTAGGCTGTACTGCAGAAATATCACCTGACCTTCCAATTCCATGGATCAACCTAAACAAAAGAAGTTGAAAACACACATCAAGATTTTCATGTTGCAAAGCTTGCTGACAGAAGAAAATTTAACTTCATAGACAGTTGTTGCAATGCAACATCAATATCTGCCACAATCAATTCCATTTTAACTAACTACACATATTTGTATGAAATTTTGTTATTTTTTTAACAGTAGATTAATAATGTTTCTGCGTGCAAAGTAAAAACTTTGAGAAGATCCACAGAAGCAACACCTTTAGCATCTGGCAGGTTTTCTTATAAGTGCACCTCAGCACTTCTTGCTGTTTGTCAAAATAGCATTATAAATGCTGACATGTTCAGACACACAACCAAGGAAAACAAAAATGAGCTGTCTATAGTGTAGCATAGGCATAGCGGTATTATAGATACTCCCTTAAAAAACACTTGATCTCCATAACGCAAGGGGAATAATATATACAAAGTGATATACATGGATATGTGTATTGCTTTGCCCATCTCATACATCTTCACTTCATCTATCATTTTGCTGTTCAATGTTATCTATCATGGAATACTATGTCTCTCTGCATTCTGTTTATAAATTATTGTTATATACTGTGTTTTTAAATATTGAACATTATTTAGTTCAGGAATGGAGAATCCTGAAGTAATCTGTAAAATACAAGCTTACAGAACAAAATTACCCATGGCTGAAATGCAGCAGCTGCTCAAGTAAGCTAGTAGTAGTATACACCCACTTATGTCTTTAATTCCTTTTTTGTCTTGGCAACAGAATAAAATGCAGTCCAATGAGTATATGATATTCAGAACTTCTTGGAGCATGGTTTTACAGCTTAAATTTATTTTCCTGTTTCAAGTTCTAAGTTGATATCAACAAACACTTGATAATTAATTGAAACTTGCATATAATACTCTACCTAAACTATTTTCTTCCCTCATTCCTGCTATGTTCTTAATAGCTGTCTCATAACAGCACTTTTTTTTTTTTTTCTTGGTGCACTTATGTACTGCTTCCTAAGAAGTAAACCTCCTTAAGACTGCCCCGTTATTTAGCTAAAAGAAGAGACAGCTTGAAAACCATCTCCCACTACCTCCATCACTCCCAAAGTCACCTGTAAAACTTATTGCAGAAATATGTGGAGGGGAGGACACCTTGCTATTGCTGGCAGTGACAGGAGAAGCGAGATGCCAGGTGACACAGCTGCACTGGAACAACAGTAGTGAACACCAGTACAGGCTCCCTCTGGCCAGAAGCCAGGCATGCTTTCTCCAGCACTGTCCAAAAGCAGAACTTCATCAGATATCCACCCCTCCCCTACCATGCATATCCTAGCCTAGAGAGCTGCAAATAAAACTAAAAAAGCCAAACTGATGTATCACTGGACTTCGACATGACTATCATAGTACTGTAGAGCTTATGAAAGTCATCAAGCCTAAGTAAGTGAACCTCTGCATAATAAAACTTACTAAATTTTTGGCCTCTAATACATTTTTGTGTTTAACTTTCAAGGAGAAACATCCTGGAACTTCCACTTTGTTTCACTCCTGTTGGGTAAAACATCACAGCAAGATACTCAGCACAGAACTCAACACACACATACAAAAAAGGAAGGAAATTAATAAGGAAATTAATGCAGAGCCTCTAAAATTATAGAATCCAACATAACCATTAAGTAAGTGTCAGAAGGACTACAAGCTAATAAAAGCTCTTTTTGTCTTTAGAGATCTCCTTACTTCATATAAAATCTATTATAGATGGACTGGGGTTTCATCTGCTCATCAACTAATGACATTATAAAGCTATTAAAAAATATAAAAAATACAAATAGGTGTTCAGTGTTCAACATCATACAATGACAATGTACAGTAGTTTTTAATAATATACAGATGAAAAGCTGTGCCTTGTTATAAAAAGCATGTAATGCATATATTATTTTAAAACAGTAAGATCTCTGCTTCCCTTGAAGAGAACAACTCAACAACTTCAGGTTCTGCAAATTCAGCGTACAGGATATAATCCTGACAAAACATTTTTGCTTCATTCAAGACTTTCTATAGAGTTATTAATGAAAATTTAATATAGAAAGCTGTATCAATTCAATTATCACATTATATTATTTTTATCAAATGCTATCAAGGTCTTAGATAAACAAAACCACAATAAAATATGCCATTGGAAAGCATTAATAAAAAACCTGAATAATTAAAAATAATCAATAATTTGTACCTGTAATGCCTTCGGGCAACAAGACCTGAAGCCACTCTTCCTTCCCTCTCACCAACGCCACAGTTGCCCAGGAAGTTATTGCTATCCATTATAGCAAGTTCATGAAGAAACAATTCAATGGTGCTTTCATCCCATCCATCTTCAGGACATTTCCCCTTAATAATAATAATATAAATACAAAATTTGGAAATGAAAAATGAACAAAACTTTATGCAACTTGTTTGATTATTGTTACCCTTCTTTCTCATGCTAAGCAGCAGTTTGTATTTTCATTATTCTCTTTTATAGTATCTAATGTTATGAAACCGTATTCAGAGAAAAGTGAAATGATAACTTTTCCATGTGTTAAATACAATTATATTAGCACATCCCGACATTAAAACAATCAGGATATTTTTTACCTTCAAGTGTTCTTTATGGTGCACACAAAACCACTGCAGGGCATACATGTTAATTACTCCCTAAAAGACTACAGATTATTTGATGTATTCTCTAGACATGATGTATGACTACAAGAACTCAACAGCAAAAACTGCACAAAAGGGAAGATATTCAGATATTAGAGAACCAAAAGCATGAGGAGAAGGGAAAGACAGTTTTAATGTGATACATCTTCCTATCCACTCATTTTCCTTTCCAGTTATTATCTAATACGGACGGAAACAAAATATGTCAAAACCTGCAACCAGAAACACGCTCTTTCTTGTACTCTTTACTGAATCAACAACTGCACCCCTCTTTGCAAATTACAGACAAGATTCTCAAAGAAGGGACCCATAAAACCATGAAGATTTTTTGTAAGTCCAGAGGCTTTTTCACATGCCCCAGTAACAAAACAGCCAATTCAGTACATCAAATTACTTTCTGAAGCGTGGTACCAAAGTTGGAAACAGTAGATGACATGACTGAGGATGCTCACGTACTGAAATATTTGCTAATTCATCGAGAATGATTTTTATACGCTGAAGACAATGAAATACACTGTTTTGGCACCTTACAAGTATCGCTTTTTACTCAATGCAACAATGTACTAATATCTTACTGCTTTTAAATATTTATTTAACTGTTCGCTGGGCCTTTTTCGGCGAATGCGCACCCCAGGGCAGTAATTCTCTCTTCCTCCCAGACGCAGCCTCTCACCCTGGGGCGGTCAGTCCCTGCGGCGCGGCAGCGCTGTCCCGAGCCGCGGCCGGCCGGCGCTGCCGGCGGCGCGCTGCCAGGGGCAGAGTCCGGCCGGCCGGCGCGCTCGCGGCGCTGCGCGGGGCCGGCCCGCCCGGCCCGGGGGAGCCTCCTCCGCCCAACCGGCTGCTCGGAGGGCCTCTCGAACCGCGGTGCGCGGAGGGCGGGGGGCTCAGCCGTGCCCCGGTGCGGGCGGTGCGCAGGGCCCGGGCCGCCCGGCGCCGCTCGGGGCGCCGCCCGCCGGCGCGCAGGGCGCCATTACCTGCTCCAGCAGCGCCCGCAGCCGCAGCTCGTGCGCGCGGCGGCCCTGCGCCCCCTGGCGCACGTAGGCCGCCGTCACCAGCCGCTCGCTGCGGCTCTGGTTCTCCGCGTTCATGGCCGCGGCGCTCCCGCCGCCGCTCCCCGCCGCGCCGGCCGGGCCCGTGCGAGCCAGGCACGTCCCGCCGGGAAGGGGCGGGCGGGGGCGGAGCGGCGCACGCCGCCGTGCGGCTCCGGGGCCCCGCCCCGCCGCCGCTCCGCGCAGCGCTCCGCGAGGCCGCCCCGCCCGGCCCTTCCCGGCCGCGGGGCCGGGCCGGGCCGTTCCCGGTGCAGGTGTGGGGCCGAGCGTGGAGCGTGTCACGGGCGGCGTCCCGCTGTGAGGGGCAGCTCGGCAGAGCCCAGACTGCTGGGCTGGCGAGAGCTTGTTCGAGGGCTGGTTTTCCGTGCCCCGCAGAGTCTAGCATTAGGCTGTCGGGAGCAGCCACCTACCTCCCCGCTGTTCCGCCAGGGTGAGGGCGTTCTCTGCTCCTCGGGACGTGCCCGGGGGCACAGCAGGTGCTTGTAGGACGATCCTCGGGATAGGAGCAGCCTGCTAGGGCTGCAGGCGTAGCCCAAAACTGCATCATAGTGACAAAGACATATTACCCAACAAGACCTCTTTTTTTTTCTTTTTTTTTTCTTTTTTTTTTTCCCTATTTTTTTTTTTTTTAAATACAGCATGGGGAAAAACAATTACACCAGCAGGAGACCTGGGCCAGGTTTTGCACCTTAGCTAGGAACTGCCAGTAAAAACTCAGCAGGTGGAAGCTTCCCAGGAGCACGGGCAGCGGCTGCCGTCGCTGTCCTTTGCCCCCCGGCGGCCACGGGACCGGCAGGTTCCCATTTGCCTCCTTGAAATAATTGGTAGGGAGTATAAAGAAATTGAAGAGGCGCCTTAAGTACGCGGTGTGTTTGTTCCAATGTTTAATTATTACCAACCTGTATCTGGTCAACTGAATCTGTTTATGAAATCTTATCTGATTCTTCTGTTTTACAGTTTTAAGCTCAGACATCTAATTAGCGTGTGAAGCGTACGGACCGACCATCCCGCTTCTGTAAGTTTAGTTGGCCTGATTAGGCTCTTTTGAGCGTTTTGACAGAGTAATCTTACACACCTGTTTGAACTGTTTGCTCGTACTGTATTAATTACAGTTTCTTAGCCCTTTGAGTAGAAGAGAGCTGTACAAGTTAGACTCTCCCCTTGGCGGTGCCCGCAGTCAGCGGCGTTGCTGCGTGTCGCGGAGCAGCGGCTCCTCCTGGTCTGTGTCACGAGAGGGCGCTCGCCTCAAGCGGTAAGCGCACGATTGCGCGGCTGTCCCTCTCTTTTCCTTTTTATCCCGCTCCAGTGTCTCGGCATAGTGCTCAAATACCTATAAGCAGATAACAAAGTTTGCTCTGTTAGTTAGAAGGATAGGGACAAAAGCTTTAGCATGAGGAAAATGACCCAGTTTATTTACGTGATGTAATTCTTAGGAATTTTAATCCTGGTGGCTAATTGAAAAGTATTAGCTATTTGGAATTAAAGTTAGTGGTTTGTTTACTATGATGGTAGTGTGTATTTTTTTTTAATTATGAGTTCTCGTGGTGTCTGAACTCTGTAGTACTGAAGAGTGAGGCAATGTAAAGGCTTTGTTAGATCAAGACCTATGAGCAAGTTACAGAATTCTTATTGAAGCAGAAGATGAAAACTATCAGTTAATTGCATTTAAAAATACAGTAGTATGTGTAGATGAACGCATAAAACAGAAAAAAAGAAGGGTTTTAAAACTTTTTTTTTTGCTGTGAGGCTGGTGAGACACTGGAACAGAGTGCTCACAGAAGTTGTGAGTGTCCCGTCTCTCTAAGGGTGTAAGGCCAGGTTCAATAGAAGTCTAAGCCACTTGGTTTAGTGGAAGGTAGCTTTGTCCATAGCAGGGGAGTTAGAAATATCTTTAAGGTAAATCTTTAAGATCCCTTCTAACCCAGGCCTTTTTATGAAATAACTAAAGAGATATTTCTTATTTTTTTCAAAAGCACTAACTCTCAATCTTTTAGAAACTAGTGAATCGACTCTACAATGGAACCTTATTGAAACAGCCACAACACACTTGTAGCTAAAGGGAAGTGCAGTATTACTTTACAGTATGCTGGGAAAAATATCAGACTTCTCCCTTTTAGTTTGATCTTTTTGTTTGCTTCTCAAAGAAATTAATGTCCATTTAATTTTCTGTACGGAAAATTACATCTAGTTGCTGTAAACCTTCCTATATGTGTTTACTAGGCAACAAATGGGTATTCATCTGGAGTCACAGTTGAGTGCACTTTTAGTAGAAAGGAATAGGAACAGAAATGCAAGTATGAACAGATTTTATCAAATATTAAAGATATTAGTATTTACATAGGTAAATAACACTCAGCTTAATTCCAAAGTCCACTGGCTGACAGGCAACCCTAGACAAAACAAACACAAGTCCAGTATTTCAGTAAGGTTATATTTTGTCAGTAACCAAAAAAAAAAAGATTTTCCCCTCTAAAACACAGAATACACACGTTAAATTCTTATACCATGCTCTCAACTATGAGACTAATGAGTAATAAATATATACCATTATTATTTTTAGCTGAGAACTGATTTGCTCCCAGTATAATCTGTAATCTCAGTTCTGTGCAAGTATTTAATGCATGTATCTTTCTCCCATATTTCACCGAAATTTGAGGAAAACCCCTCTTCAACAGACAGGATTGGGAAAATACATCCAGGCTGAAATCTGATGCAGTATGTTGGGGTTATAGTTGTTTTTGCTTTCTTCAGTTAATAACGCATGGATAGTGGGGGAACATGGAAATAATGGCAATGTATTCATACTGTTTTCTCTTACGCTGTTTTTAGGCTTCGTTTTGGTAGTTACCGTGATGGCGTAGAACAATGTTGTGCAAAGTTTGGGGAGGGAGCGCAGCTGGCTATGGCAAGCGTGTGGCAGGTGTGGAACTAAGGCGAGTGTCAGGGCAGCTTTCGCTGGACGCCCCGCGCCGTGCGGCCCTGCCTGCCGCGGCCTGCCGAGCCGCCGCCGCGGCCCCTTTAAGGCAGGCGGCGGGGCGGGCCGGGGCCGCGCGCAGGCGCGGGGCGCGGGCCGGCGCGGCGGGAGCGCCCGAGCCCGCCCGAGCCCGCCCGAGCCCGCCCGGCCGCGCCGCCGCCTCCCGCCGCGCCGGCCCCGGCCCCGGCCCCGGCCGCCCATGGCGGAGCCGGGCGCGGAGGAGCCCGACGAGCGGCTGCTGCTCCTCGAGGAGCCGCCGCCGCAGGCAGAGCTGCCCCGGCGGGGGCCGCAGAGTGCGAGAGCCGCCCCCGGCGGGGCCGTGCGGCAGTGGGGGGAGCCGGGGCTCGAGGAGGTGGCGGAGTCGGAGGACTCGGAGGACTCGGGGCCCGAAGGGGATGGAGAGGACGAGCCGCTCCTGCGGGCGGCGGGCAGCGGCCGCGGGCGGCGAGCGGGCGGCGCCTGGGACAGGGAGCGCCGCGCCGCCGCAGGTACGGCCGGGGCGCCGCGGGGAGCGGCAGCGCCGCTGTGCCTGGGGGCGGCCGCGCGTCTGGGGGCACGGCAGCCCCTGCCTGCTCCGTGCTTCCAGCGAGGCTGCAAAAACACCTGCCGGCGCTGAAGGGCGCTCCGTGTGCCGTGTCCGCTGGCACAGCAGCGGTGCTGACCTCTCTAGACGTACGGGCTCGCTGACTGATAATGAAGGGAACATGCTGCAAACGGGTAGAAATCCCACTGCTTTGTCCCTACGTGCAGGGCTGCACGGACTCCTTTACATCTTCATCAGCGTCTCCACTGTCCCTTCTCCCCGCTCTCTGTCTGCTGTTTTGTTGACCCTTGCTTTATTTCTGTCATGTTGTTTGAAACTTGTGGCTTTGCATGTTTTAAAGACTGTTTTGTCGGGGGACTGGCTGCTGCTTCCTGAACACTTTGAGGACGTGTCAAATTTTCAGTTTGACTTGCATATCCCGCTAACTAGTTTTTTTGTGACCCACATCGTTTAATCTTGAAAAACAAGTCAGTCTTTGTGTTTGTTCTTTGTTGTACTCATATACTCACTTTGTACCATCACTTGTTTTAGGAGTTTTAGATGTGGGCTCTGCTGTCATATTTTTGGCTTTCATGCAAATGTATCTTCTTTTGTATTTTCAAATCAGTTCTTGAAGAGAGAAATACAATGTGAAAGTGTAGAAATGCAAGAACTTAGTTATTAATTTGAAAACAGATACAAGCGTGTGCCCATTATCTGATTCTAAATATACTGGCAAAGTGATAAATCACATGCTATTTATTGCTTACATTCTTTTCTTTAGACTTTCAAGCTTTCTGATTTTGTGCAAGTTTCTATAAAAGTATACATCTAGGATGAGTTTCCTGACAGAAATATGTGGAGTTCCTTCACTTCTTTGTTTCTGCTGTTGTAATTACACTGTAGGATTTCTTGCCAGAGACTGGTAATGCTGTTTCTTTGGCAACATGGAGGACTTGAAAAAAATTGAAACAACCCCCTCATCAAGTTTAACAAAATAAGTTGTGCTAATAATTCTATTTTACTAACTACAGAAAACTTTTACTTGTTTGGCTATAAAGACAGAAAAATCTTGTCTTCTAAGCACTGGTCTCAGGTATAGTCCATACCTGTAATATGAACATGCCATTAAATGTTAGAGTTTTCCTGTTTTTTCCTACAAGACTTAAGATCTGCTAAAGAGATAGTGCTTCTAGCAAAGTATTTCTAGAAACTTTAAAAAGAAGTTGATGCTTCAGAGTGGAGGCTAGAGCCACAGGTCTTGCACCACTGAAGCAATTAGGATAGTGAATACAGAGTACTCCTTGGAATCTTCCCCAGAAGTGTGTAGGAAAATCTCAGAACTGATATTGATTACAGCATCTCATCCTTTTTTCCCTTGTCCTTACCTTTTCTGTGTGTGTAACCCTCAAAGGTGCAGGATTGTTTCATATGTCAGGTGGAACCAACATACACCAGATGTTACTCATATATATTATTACAACACACAGAGTTTCCTTAATGGAGACTGAATAGGTTAAAGGGACTACCTTTAATCATGTCAATATTTAAAAAGTATAAATCTAGCTTAGTGCTGAAGGAGTTCATACATGTTACTCTTGCAAAGTGTGCTAGTTTAGTTTAGGTCATGTCATGCTAACTTGATGGAAGAATAGGTTGAGGTGCATACATGGATGATAGCATTTGTATCTTCTTTGGCAGGTCTTTATCATTCCAATACAGTGGCTTCACAAACTTGGGCCTTGTCCAAATTGATGTGAAAAAAGTTCTCAAGCTTGGTAGTTCAATTGTGTGTGTGTGAGCCCTGTCTCCTTAGTGGGAGTTTAATGAGAAGAGTAATTTTCAAGAGTAATTGCAAGAGAAACCTTAATTAATTATAAGTCTAGAGACTGTACTGGGAATAAGTTGTGACATAACATGCTTGCTCAGTAGAAAAGTTGATTAAAATAATTTTTAAAAGAGAAACTAACTCAAACTGCCACATTCAGTGAATACTATCTTCAATTAATATGGCTTATTTTCATATGGAGAGGGTCAATAAACTCCTTAAAACTGCTAGTTTCCTTGTCAGCCTAAATGTTTTTGTACAGCCACATCACTGGTAACATGCTTCCTAGCAGCACAGTAGCAATACTGAGCAAATAATGAATTTCAAATGTCATCTATCTTTTCTTATTTCAGCATGCAGTGTAATGAGATTTTTTTGTTTTAATTTATTTTTTATGAAGTTATCTTTTAGAAAGACATAGTTGAATAATTTCCTCAGACAGTGAGACTACGTAGTAGTTCTAGATTATAGAATAAATGCACAGAAGTGAAAAACTGACCTCTGAGTCTTCCACACAGTCAACTGCAATCCATGTGATACAAAGTTCATCTGTAGGTTTTCTTCATCTAGAATATATTGTGCAGAATGACTTAGCATGGATGTTGCGCTTCATTTGGTAACAGTATAATGCACAACTCTGATTTTGCTTTCATTGACAAAAATATGTACTGGTTGGAGCACAGCTGTGTGAGTAATGTAGATGTGTAGAGATAGCTGAGCCTTGACTGTGAAGTAAGAACTTGTGAAATAAGAACTGATTTTAAATTACTTCTTCCTTAAAAATAAATTTGGTTTATTTCCCTAACTCATTTAAGTTCATTGTGGCAGGAAAACCTTTGAACCTCTTCCCTCCCTCTTGTTGTCTACTCTAAAGTCTTAAAGTGTAGTTTATCACAGCAGTATTGGCCAAATAGTTAAAACAGATTCTGATCTAATGGGCTGTGGCTGTTAATTCTTAAGAATGATCTGCTATTAGCTTTAAGGTTTCTCTTCCTTGTTACCAACTTATACTAAGATTTTCCTATTTCTTTAATGCTTTTTGACTGTTTTTGTTTGGAGTCCATGTTACTATTTTAAGTGGTACATGCAAGTAAGTGCTAATGTTCTAAAAAGCTTCAAAAACTGTCCTGAGCTACAAAAAAAATAGTGTTTTTTAAAAATTATTTTTATTTGGCTCTTCACAAACTGTTGAGTATCTTTTTTGGATAGTTTCTGTGTTGGTTGTCATTCCAGGAGGATGTATATTACATTTCTTTAATTGCTGAAATGGGAACAAAGCAACTTTATCTGTAAATGTTGAATTTAGAATAATGTACTGTTTGTTACTGCAGAAATGAGTCCTAATGCACAGGCCCATTAGAATGCACTCGGTGAACATGTGAAACAATCCTAGCATTAAAAAAAGGTATAATAATCTACAGCATCAAAACTTGTGAAGATATATTTTAAAAATTGAAAAGTCAGTAGTATTCTGGCACCTTCCTTTCTAATGTCTTTCTAAATCTTTGCATAGAGTCGTAGAGTTTGCACAAATGTCTGATTTCTGGGTTGTAGGTAAAGAAATGCTACAAGTTGCTTACAGTGTTTTAAGGCTGGAATGGTGCTGGCATGCAGTAGTCACTGCTGTGTTGGTGCTGCTTGTGAGTGCTACTTGTAGCAGATTATTCAGCGGATTAACTTCCTTGCATTTTAGCAGATAATAAACATATTAGCCAAGCTCCTAAATGAATGCTACAATACTATTCTAATAGTGGGTAATGGGCATGACACAAAAATAATACATATCTTTAATGTTTTTTTTACTGTTTTGACTTTGAACTTTTTTTCCTTAGATTTGTTTCATAAATAAATACTAAAAAATGAAATCCTTGAAAATTTTAAACACTTAGCAGTGGCAGTCTCAAATTTGTTTTTTGCAGATTTGGCTGATTTACTTGAATCAAGAAGTTGATTAGACGTGGATAAATCAGTGGAAAAACTTGCACTGATTAAATGGATGAGATTTTTCCGCCTGGTGTTGGATGGGTGTCAGCAGGGAAGGCTGTTGGCTTATCAATGTGTTTGGTTATGCTTAATTTGTACTAGAAGTTGCATTTAAGACTGGTTGTTTTCTTGTTTTTCAGGGCATACAGGACATACTGCAGATATGAATATATTTTTAGATGATCCAGAATTTGCAGAAATTATTCTGAGAACAGAACAAGCAATAGAGTGCGGAGTTCTTCCAGAAAGAATCTCTCAAGGATCCAGTGGGAGTTACTTTGCTAAGGATCCAAAAGGGGTGAGCATGTTACTGCAAAGTCAACAGCAGCAAATTGAAAATGGAAATTCAAAAATTCTATCTAGATACAAATTAATTTAAATAAGTTATTTAATAATTTATTGTATGTCAAAATTTATTTTGGAAAAATCAAGGCAAGTAATACTTAGATTTCTAATTATGTCTTGCTGCATAAACCAAAGTATAATAATATTATTTCTACTGCATCTTTATCATGTTTTTAATGATCTGCACCAAAGAAAAACTGAGAATAAAAGGGCCTCTAACATCTCAAAACAGTTCAGGAATTCTCTTGTGCAGAATCTTGTTCTCTGTGTATTTTAACTGATTTTTGCCCAACTGAGCTCCTGATTTCAGTATGGTTTAAGTTTCTTTAGCTAAGCCTCCTATATTTTTCTCTCTTTTCTTGTTAGATAGCCCTTTATTTAGGTTGTCTCCTTTCTTATATATGATTGGTAGATGGGCAAGAAGAGTGATATCATCAAATCCGCCTTCTAACTTGTACTTGTCTGCTGAATCTTAGCTGGAAGATTTGGTTTCCCCTCTGCAAGATTTGGTTTTCCCTTCTGTACTTGGTAAATAGTACCTTGAATAGTGATCATCAGTGAGGTGTCCTAAGGTTACTTTGAGACAGAAGTAATAGTTACCTGAATCTCTCTCCTGAAAAGTAACATGTGGTTAGCATTATTTAGTAAGAGGAAATGATGTCTCAGACACACATTCACATTGTTTCTTTAAATTAGAAATACTCTGCTACTGACCCATTTCACAAAATAAGACCTCCAACTGCTCAACTTTTGTTAATTTTTCACATATGATTTTATTTTAAGCAGAATCAACAGCTTTTAGCTCTTAGATAGATGTAGGTGTTCATAAATCCTGAAGATCCCAGTTATGCTGGAAATGGAAGTTGGAACATTGAATGCCTAGGTTTTCAGGGCATGTTCCAGATTTTTGTCATTCCCTTTCATTTAGAAGGTAGTATGGTTTTTGTTTCAATTTTAGTCATATTCTTGGTAATTAGAAAATATATTCCTGTTTTGCCAGTTAATTTTCATAGTTGTTTAGTTTGTTTTAATGGCAATTTTCTGGTGATAGTTTTTACACTTTATTGAATAAGTGGTTTTGGGTTTTTTTTTTAGCTGAGTTACCTGACATTAATATAAATAAATATGTCAATTTATGATTTTATTTTTATGGAAAGAACCACCCCTTTAAAATCTTCTGAAAACTGCAGTTCATATGCCTGTGTTCCAGGAACATTTGTTAGTAATGATCCCCTTCATTCTGGTGGAGAAAATAAAAAGGGGTGGGGAGGTCTCTCTCTTTTTGAAACCTGAAGGAAAAAAAAAAATCTTGCTGTAGTAGTCCCTTACATTTTGGGATTATTGCTATCACATGCAATGCTGTAAATATAAAAGCTTATTCAGAGTTCCAGCTTCAGGTCACTCTCTTTTTTAGTAGCTTAGATCTTTGTAGATTTTCTGGTTGTGTGCTTATATACACATATTCAAACTTCATGTTCTTTTTAAAGTAGGTTTATATCTTATTTAATATGCAATAGGAAGAAAAGTTAGGAGTCAAATACTGGTTTGAATCAATAGTTTTTCAAAATTTCTGTGCATGATGTATCTAATACAATATTCTAGAGTGTCAAGCTAGAAATGCTTTACAGCTGATCATGTTGAATTTTTCTTAATGCTATGGAATTGAGATGTTTTTATTCTTAGAAAGTTAGAGAAATCATTAGGGAAAATAAATCATACCATATGTGCAGATCTGTTTTGTCTGAAGCTTATCTAGATTGATTTTGCTTGTTTTTGGTCACTAGCAAATGCCTGAGGTACTCACTGAGCCATGGCAATGGTGAGAGAGTATTTGTGCATTATTTTAGTATAAATATAACCATAGTATTTTGGATGGGCCGTATTATTCCTTGTTTCTTATGTGGTGATTTTCTTATTGGTTTTACTTTTCTTTTGCTGTGTTGTTTTTGTTCCTAGTTAAGTTTCTAGCAGAGATGTGCCCTCCTCCCTTATGCAGGTCATTGATTTGAATATAAGCATTTAGGAGAAACACAGACTGAGAAAAGAAGACTGTTTATTTTGTATGATTCAGAAAAAAAATCATTGCAAAATATGAAAGTATTTGGGATATGGGACTGAGAATTATGATAATGAGTGCTTAGCAGACTTTAAATTTTGCTTTTATTCTTTGCTTTTGTTCTACAGCTTATCTATGTTTACTATCCATATTAAAGGTCTGAAAAAACTTCATTTTGTCAATAGTGAAACTTTCATATGTAGAATGGATTTCAGATCCTGTTTGAGTATTGCATCATTCCACTTCAGACCGGTTCTGTCACTTGCTTTCTCCTATTCCTCTTGAGTAATCTCTTTCTTATTCTGGGAAGGAGCTCATTAAAGATGTGCTAAGCCTTTTTTAATGGTCACCTTCTGAAGTGCCCAAATTGAATACCAAATTACAGATAAAATAAGTTGTTTCCATTAGGTCACCTTATGTTATGATTTGGTTCTGTGGGAAGGATAAACTTCAAATTGCATAATTAAAATTAGCTTTTTGCATTTATTGGCCAAAGTTATATGGTTGCATACTGAAATGGAGTTCAGTACTTAAGCAGCACTATTACAGAAGGCTTGAATATGTCTGCATTTGTTGTTCATTGTGTAAACAATAAATAAAAGACATAGTGTCTTTTACAAATTGTTCTGCAATATGTTCCTGACAGTTTCAACTAATTGCTAACGTTAATAGAGTCAGTCTGTAAATGCATTTTGACTGGCAAAATTAAGACTGGCCTTGGTAGTTTGTTCTATAGAAAAGTTCTATAGAACCTTTTTGTTCTACTCTAGTCCTCAACAGCAGTGGCTCTGGAAAGTTTAGCAAAAGTTCTAACTTGAGCAAAACCTTGGAAGCCATATCTAGATTTGACTGTATAGCGCAGTACAGTCCAGGCTGGTAACAGAATGAGCTAAGCTCCTCTTTAAAATGGGCACTTAGTAGGAAGTATTAGCCAGAGAGTGATTCAGAAGAGATAATTAAAGGTTTGGCATGTACTTCTAAATACACCACAATGATTCCAAGAAGAGCAAAACTGCTAGCTTTGTTTTAAGCAGGTAGATACATGTGATTCAATAGGAAAAAAATTAAAATAACTTTTTAACAATTCTAAACCTAACATTAGGACTGAAGTAGTATCACAAATGCTGTGATATAAAAATAAAAAATAAATAGTAAAGTATTCAAAAAGCATTCTGGCCTCTCACATTGCATAGAATATTTATTGCATTTGTGTAGTCTAAGTCAAATTTTGTCAGTGCAGTTGTGTTCAAGGTTTTGAATGCAACCTTAGAGTTGCAGATAATAGCATACCAAACCCAAGGGAATTCTTACCAATTTGTTGCCTGACTGTTGCTAGGACACTGATTTTATAGTATGAATGCAAATAATAGTATTTTATAACTTAGTTTTCCTTGTAGTTAATGAGAATTAATCAAAATGGATGGACGAGACATATGATGCTACTAATGTCTGGTGTCTTGTGTATTTGTTTACAAACGGAATGAATTAAGCTTTCTGTAGTTACTTAGTCTTGGGCAATCTTGGACAAAGCAGGATTGTCTTAGAAACATTGGT